GTTGTGTATGTGTTTCATAGGTAGATTCTGATGGTGAGAGTTTTGAGCTTCCTGGGTTGCCCCACAAGTTGGAGATGACACGCTCGCAGTTACCGGATTGGCTCAGAGCACCAAAGCCCTATACCTATTTAAAGAAGATGATTAAAGAATCAGAGAAAAAGAGCTACGGGTCACTGTTCAAGAGCTTTTACGAGTTTGAGGGAGCTTACGAGGAGCATTACAAGAGGGTCATGGGTACTAAGAGTTGGAGTATAGGACCAGTTTCGTTGTGGGAGAACCAAGAAGAGTTGGACAAGGCTGGTAGAGGGCATGCAAAAGAAGGAGAAGGAAAAAGAACAGACGAAGAGTTGATGAGATGGCTTGATTCGAAGAAAGAGAACTATGTTTTGTATGTGAGTTTTGGGAGCATGAACAAGTTCCCTACTGCACAGCTTGTTGAAATAGCCCACGCACTTGAAGATTGTGGACATGATTTCATATGGGTGGTTAGGAAAAACGACGATGATGGGGATAGGGGTTTCCTGGAGGAATTTGAAAAGAGGGTGCAAGAAAGCAACAAAGGATATCTGATATGGGGTTGGGCACCACAGCTTGCTATACTAGACCATCCTGCTACTGGGGCAGTGGTGACTCACTGTGGGATGAACACTGTGTTTGAAAGTGTGATTGCAGGATTGCCATTGGTGGCTTGGCCTATATTTTCGGAGCAGTTTTTCAATGAGAAGTTGGTGGTGGATGTGTTGAAAATTGGAGTTTCGGCTGGAGCAAAAGAATGGCGAAACTTGAATGATTTTGGGAGTGAAACAGTGAAGAGGGAGGAGATTCGAAAAGCAATTGTTTTGGTGATGGGTGGAGAAGAGTGTGTAGAAATGAGGAAGAGAGTGAAAGTGTTGAGTGATGAAGCAAAGAAAGCGATTCAGAGTGGTGGCACTTCTCATAACAATTTGAAAGAGCTTATTGAAGAGCTCAAATCAGTCAAACTTCAAAAGGGTATATAATAATACCACTCAAAAGCTTCGAAAGCCGTGTGGAAGATGTTAGATCGTGAGAGTTATCAGCTTTTATTTATTGTTAATGTATCGTTAGTGCTGTTACCATCTATGATCAGCTTGC